ATAAAAATAATGTGTCCAACTACAACTAAAAAATAATAAATATTTTAAAATTTTTTTAAAAGAAATTAAAGGGGTGTATATAGGAAAAGAACTGAAACTATCCCTATTTGCTGACAAAATGATACTATACTTAGAAGACCCAAAAACTCCACCAGAAAACTTATAGAATTCATAAATGAATTCAACAAAGAAATGTGATATAAAATTAACATCCATAAATTAATTGTTTTCCTATACACAAATGATGAATCAGCCGAAAGAGAAATTAGGGAAACTATCTCATTCACAATAGCCTCAAAAAAAAAAAATCCTTGAGAATTAATCTAACAAAAGAAGTAAAAGACCTCTACAATGAAAACTACAGAACACTAAAGAAAGAAATTGAAGAAGACCTTAGAAGACAGAAAGATCTCCCTGCTCTTGGATAGGCAGAATTAACATTGTCAAAATGGCCATACTACCAAAATCATTACACAGATTTAATGCGATTCCTATTAATATACTAACAACATTCTTCATAGAAATAAGAAAAGCAATCATGAAATTCATTTGGAAAAAATAAGAGACCCAAAATAGACAAAGCAATCCTTAGAGAGAAAAGAGAAGCAGGAGGCATCACAACACCAGACCTTAAACTATGCTACAGAGCTATAACAACAAAAACAGCATGGTATTAGTACCAAAACAGACATGAAGACCAATGGTACAGAAAACAAGACATAGACACAAACCCATATTAATACAGTATCTCATACCAGACAATAGGCACCATAAATATACATTGGAGAAAACATAGCCTCTTCAACAAATGGTGTGGGGAAATCTGAAAATCCATATGTAGCAAAATGAAATTTAACCCCTCTCTCACTGCACAAAACTCAACTCAAAATGTATCAAAGACCTAGGCATTAGACCAGAGACCCTACATGTACTAGAACAAAGTGTAGGCCCAACACTGAATCATGTTGACTTAGGAACTTCCTCAACAAGACTCCTAAAGTGCAAAACAAATCTTTGCTACCTGCACCTCAATGCAGGATATATAAAGAACTAAAAAAATTAACACACACATAAAAATAATCCAATTAATAAATTTGCAAACGAACTGAATAGACATTTCACAGAAGAAGAAATATGAGAGGTCAACAAATATATGAAAAAATGTTCAACATCTCTGGAAATCAGAGAAATGAAAATTGAAACTACACTGCAATATCATCTCACTGCAGTCAGAATGGCAACAATCAGGAATACAAGTAATAATAAATGTTGATGAAGATGTGGGGAAAAAAGGACTCTCATACATGACTAAGTGAGACTGGAAATTGGTACAACCAATCTGGAAAAGAGTATGGAGATTCCTCAGATAATTTGAAATGGAACCACCATTTGACCCAGTTATCCCACTCCTTGGCATATATCCAAAGGACTTAAAATCAGTATGCTACAGTGACACAGCCACATCAATGTTTACAGCAGGTCAATTCACAAGAGCTAAACAATGAACCAGCCTAGGTACCTTTCAACAGATGAATGGATAAAGAAAATGTGGTATACATACACAAGGGAATGCTACTCAGCCAGTAAATTCATGGAACTGGAGACTATCATGCTAAGTAAAATAAGCCAATCCCCAAAAACCAGAGGATGAATGTTCTCCCTAATATGTAGATGCTAACTCACAATAAGCAGGCAGGGTTGGTGGTAGAGAAGAATAGAAGTACTTTGAATTATACAAAGGGGAATGAAGAGAAGGGAGGGGAAATGGGAATAGGAAAGACAGTAGAATGAATCAGACATTACTTTCCTATGTGCATATATGATTACATGACCAATGTTATTCCATAGGAAAGACAATGAAATGAATCTGACTTAAAGTTCCTAAGTTCACACATAAATACACCACAATGAATCTCCACATTATGTACAACCACAAGACTGTGATCCTAATTAGAGTAAGATGTGCTGTTTGTACAAATATATCAAAATATACTCTACTGACATGTATAACTTAAAAGAATTTTTAAAAATCCTAAAATTTTAAGAAACCATACACACACACCGCAGATGGCCAAAGAAATACTGAGCAAAAAGAATATAATAGGAGGTTTTACACTACTTGACTTCAAACTAGACTACAAAGCTACAGATTTTAAAACAGCATTAGTATTGGCACAAAATTAAACACATAGACCAATGAAACCATATAGAGAGCCTAGAAGTAAGCCCACACATCGGCAGCCAACTGATTTTGACTTAATTGCTGAGAATTTGCACTGGAAAAAAAGACAGTCTTTTCAGTAAGGAGGAAATTGGATATCCAAATGCAGAAGAACAAAACTACTCTCTCTCTCATCATCTACAAAAATATAGAAAAATCAAATTAAAATGGAATAATAATTAATAAATGAAGTAATAATTAAATCTATGAAACTACTAGAAGACTACACAAAGGAAGTTCTTGAGGACATAGGTCTGGGCAGGGTTTGAGAAGATCCAAAGCCCAGGAGACAGAAGCAAAACTGGACATAGGCAATTACATCATAGTAGATAGCTTTTGACCTCAACAGAGGTCAAAAGTCATTGAAGTGAAAAGACAAGCTATATATGAGAGGGAACATTTGTAAACTATATATCTGACGAGATTATTAGTGGATGATACACTCGAGTAGACAGTTCTCAAAGGAAAACATACAAATGGCCAATAGGTACATGAAATAATACGGAACTTCAGTGGTCATTAGAGATGTGCTGTGAGTCTCCCTATATTTTTCACTTTGTTCTTCTAGCTTATACTCACCACCGAGGTCTCAAAACCTCATTCCCGTTAGAATGTCTGTTAAAAAAAGAAGCATAACCTTGCCAAGTGTTGGCAAGGATGTGGAGAAAAGGAAAGGCTTGCACACTTTTGGTGGGAATGAAAATCAGTACAGCCATTGTAGACATCAGTATAGAAGTTTCTCAAAAAAATTAAAAATAGAAATACCATAAATTCCACTATTGGGTACATATCCAAAGGAAATGAACTCATTATGTTAAAGAGACATCTGCACACCCATGTTTATTGCAGTACTATTTACAATAGCCAATAAATGGAAACAACCTGTCTCCAACAACGGATGAATGAAGAAAATATGGCAGTAGACACAATGGAATACTATTCAGCCATAAAATGGTTGAAATCCTGTCGTTCTTGATAACCTGGACGGAACTGGAGGCCATTATATTAAGTGAAATAATTCATGCACAAAAAAGGCAAGAACTACATGATCTAACTTCTATGGGAAGTCTAAAAAAAGTTCATTTCACAGAAGTTGAGAGTAGAATGTTTACCAGAGGCTGGGAAGAGTAGAGGGGAGGAAGGATGTGAAAATGTTGAGTAAAAGGTACTACATTAGCTGGGACTGGTGGAGAGGGCCTGTAATCTCAGCTATCCTGAAAGCTGATGCAAGAGCCACACAAGTAAGAAGTCAGTCTCAGCCACTTAGTGAGAACCTGTTCCAAAATAAAATAAAAAGGTCTGTGGATACAGTTCAGTAATCAAGTGCCCCTGGGTTCAATCTCCAATACCAAAAATAAAGAGAAGGGAAGGGAAGGAAATGAGAAAAGAAAAAAAAAAAAGAGAGAGGTACTAAAGAGCCCTTGCCTAGCATGAACAAGGCTCTATGTTCAATCCCAGTACCACAAAAAATAAGTAAATAAACAAATAAGAAAGAATGTGCGCACAATTCTATGATTAGATAGAAAAAAGATTTGTGGTTCTATTATCCAGTAAGCTGACTTTGGGTAGTGTTTGATGATAATATGGATGCACTTATCCTCATTTGAACATTATACAATGTATACATGTATCAAAGTATCATACAGTGACCTATGTACATGTATAATTTTATGTATCAGTTAAAATTTTTAAAATAAAAATAAAGGATTAAAAAAAAGAAGAAGAATAGTATAATTCACTGTTACTGGAAGGTGGGCATTACTTCTACTAGCTCATGGTAAAGCCAACAAGATTTTTGGGAACTGTCCATTAGTTTCTTCTACCTAATGCATTGTTTGAGATTAGGAACATTTGATGTGTGGACAATGGTAACGGAGAATTTTATATACCCTGCTCCCAAGAGGTCCCTCATACCTATCTTTAGTCAAGTTGATTTTTCGGTCATCTTTACTTCAAAATCTATAACTTTCTATTAATTAATTAAGCCATTAACTTTCCAAGGATTGCTTATAACATGAAAAAATTTAGAATGGCTCCTTTCTCTGCTACATTTGGAATGGCTGGGAGAGAGAAAGGAAGATGTTGGATAGTTAGATCAGTCCTATCCAGCAAAATAGAAGTGCTGTGGCACAGCCCTAACTAGGAGAGCAAAGTGAAGATGTACAGGGAATCCTAAGAAAGGCACTCAGATCTAAGGGGTTCTGGGGAGTGTGGTTTCTGAAGTGGAGATGTGGAAAGGAGATTCAAGACCTTTCCATGTAGAGTCAAATGGATCATGCTGAACTTTCCTCTTCTATACTCCCATAATTGCTGCTCTGAAAAGCATGATAGGAGTAGACCAGTCAATAAAACTCCATGTCCTAGTAGTACATGAATGTACGGGCCACCTTACATTTCCTGAATATGAGGAGTTACCGATGTGGGGATATGGTGAGGGCAGAGTCTTGCAGTGTGGCATGTATGCACAGTGTGGTATGTATATCCAGCTCGCCACACAGAGTTGGACAGTTCTGTAGGACACCTTCCATTCTTGATACTCAGCTCCATTGACCCCGCAATGGTGGCATATTCCCAACCTCACACTGCAGAACTGGCCATGCAGAAGAAACTAGTGAGGCTGCTCTGAGTCTTTTCTGCATCCACCAGAATATGGCATTTTATCAAAGCATGCTGGCCAAGGAGGATGTAAACACTGAGTGAAAATCTAGCCTTGAGAGCGTGATTACCATACTGAAACCATCTCATGGTATTAGGAAGGCAGATTAAAAGTGGCTCTTACTTGGAGCACTGTCCCATCTGGCTTCACCAGGGTCATTTCTTCATTGGCAGGTAGTGGCTGGCCAGAGGCTTTGCAAATGGGATTAAATTTACCACTGTTTACTTCTATATGATCTGGCAAATCCTCTATCTTTGGAGTCATCCTTGGCATGCCTGAATGAAGAAAAGAGAGCCATGAAATCTGATCCTGAACCCAGCAGCAATAATAATAATAATAATAATAATAATAGCTAGTTCAGCAAGTCATGCACAGTGCAAGAGATTTACAAATATTTTATCATCACATAATAAACATGTGAGGTGGGTGCTATTGTGATCTCCATTTTATAGATGAGGAGACAGAGGCTCCGAGGCCAGAATTAAGCCTAGCCCTTTATAAATCTAGTGTCTACACTCTTCACCATAGGCCTATGTTCCCTCAGTGAACCTAGGGGAAGGAGTCTCAATATTAAAATGATCATCATGGCCACATCTTCCCCTGATCTTGCAGTTCAGTCCCTGTCTTGCTTATTAAGAGTATTATTACAAAACCAAAAGGCAAATTCTAGTTTCTTCCACTTAGCAAATGACCACACAATGTTGCTGATCAACAGCATTATTCTTAGTTGGGGGTAAATGAAAACTATCTATTTGATTGGGAAGTCTAAAAGTGACACATAAATTAGAAGGAAAATGTGATTTAAATAATAAACAGTTCAAAGAAGTGATGTGAAATGTAACTTCTCAAAATCAAATTCTAGTCAGCAGCCAACTCCAAAGTAGTTCTGCCAATAATGAAGGGAAAAAAATGTCTCTGGTATTAACAAAGGTAAGGGGATCAGACTTCTTTGCCTAATATCTGCACAGTAGAGAATGAATTATGCTGAAATGCAATTATATCATTCTGAACTTCAGGGTCTTAGGGAAACTTGCCATTTGTGATTTAAATGATCCATTGTTAGTATGTATGGGATATGGCTTAAGTGTGCCCCCCAAAGGTTCCTCTGCTGGTAACTTGATCCTCAGTGTTGGGTTTTAAGTGTTGGGATCTAATGCAAGATAATTAGGAAATTAGGGGTGCCATCCTCAGAAGGTGTTAATGCGGTACTTTTGGGACCCCATTTAGTTCCCTCAAGAGTAGGTTAATATAAAAACAGTCAGCCTGATCCCGGAATCTCTCTGCCTTCCTGCCATATCATGTGATCTCTTCTGTATACACTCCTGCCATCTGCCATGAAACTCACTAGAGCCCAAACAGATGGGACCACCCGATCTTGAAATTTCAGTTAAAGAAGTCTATTTTATAAAGTACCCAGTTTCAGGCATTTTGGTATAGCACAGAAAACAGATTGGCATAGGTCAGTAAAGGATATGGGAACTGATCGCCCCAACACAATGTGGAGAAGGGAAGGAGGAAGAAGGCAAAACATTGATCCTTTCCCAATAAATCCTTTCCCAGTGACAAGACAATCCTAAGAAGGAAGCACACATCAATCCTAAAAATGGCAGTCCCTGGATAAACATTGATCCTTTACTATACAATAACCCCTGGAGGAAAAAAGATAAGCACTGAGACCCTCCATTCCTGCCCAGTAAAAACAAATTTCAAATTCTCACAACCTATTTCCAAAGTGCCCAAACTGACATGTTCTGTCAATAATTAAGTCACACCTCAGTGTAACCTATAAAACCCAGGCCTCTCTTATAACCAGTGGCTGTTTTCTACCCAGAAAATGAGCCCCTCTGATGCCTTACTCCACTGCTGAATAAAAGGCCTTGCTGATCCATGAAGTCTGCTCTCATCCTGGTTATTTGTGCTTTCATTATGGTGCTGAAACCATTTTAATTATTTTTGCTTGTAAGCAAAACTTGTCTAACACTTAGTAAAATATAACAGGAGACAGAGGTGCCCTAAGAGCAGCAGTAATTTATGTGCTCTTGCATATTGGTGGTGGGAAAAGGTGAAGTCAAAGTAAATACATCAATATTGATATTTCATCCTGATATCTCATTTCTCAGGCTTAAATTGACATGGATAGACATGGATAGATGATTAGAAAAGCTACAGAATTTTGGAATCTAAGTAGCTATTCAAGGAGGAATTTTTAAAAAAGTACTTTGACACTTTAAAAGCATTCCATTCCTTTATTCTTGCATTTTTTGAAGTTGATCAGAGGTGAAGGGGATGTGCTTGAGGAGTGGGAAATAGTGGAAGGGAGCTGCTCTTTGAAAGCAGGGACTTAGGGAGAGTGCAAACTTGTGTTAGGGTCGCCCAAGCAGAAGCATACATTTTGCAGCATGAACCTTGGAACAGAAAGGAAGCAGTAAAGTACAAAATCCAAATTCTTTAACTTATGAATTGCCCGTTTTCAATTCAATTCCCTGGTACCTAAGGCATTTCCTTCCCTTCTCAGCACTTAATCTCTGCCCTGCTGCTAAGTCCAGACTTAGAAAATAGAAAATGTATAAAGCTAAAGAGTTTAAAAGCCTTTGGGAAAACCAATTTTTGGTATCCTCCTCCCTATATTTCTGATTTCAAAACTAACAAGAGAAAAGACTCTGACTGTCTTAATCTGAGTGTAGATTTCACTGAATGTATATCTTTTTAAAAAATTATGATTGAAGAAGTAACATTTTTTATATTTTTAAAATTTGAAAATACATAAAAGGCATGCCTCTCAATTTTTTTAAAAAAGCATATTTGTGGGTATTGATTAGCAAACTTTCTGTAGGGAAAGCAAGTATTTTTAGCTCTACAAGCCACTGTACAGTCTGCCCTGGTAGCATAACAGCAGCCAGTGTCTGTATATGGTAAAGTAACAGGTGTAGCTGTGTTCCAATATAATTTTTATTTACAATAACAGTAGAAAATGAAAAAGAATTAAATACTGATACATTCTATAACACAAACTTAAAAAATAAGGTAATGGAAATGAAAGAAGCTAGCTACAAAAGATCATATGATTCTTTTTTTTATTGGCATAAAATCTTTACAGACAAAGTAAATTAATGATTGTCAGATACTAGGAAGGGTTAATAAAAGTTACTGCTAATGAATACAAGGGATTTGGATTTTGCATATTGAAAATGTCCTAAAATTAGATTATGGTTATAATTGCACAATTCTAAATATACTTTACAAACATTAACTGTAGATTATAATTGGATGGACATTATTATCCAAAGTACATGTATGAAGACACAAATTGGTGTGAATACACTTTGTATACAACCAGAGATATGAAAAATTGTGCTCTATATGTGTAATAAGAATTGTAATGCATTCTGCTGTCAAATATAAATAAAAATTAATTTTAAAAAGTGAGCATTATGGAATAACAATTATATCTCAAGAAAGCTATTAAAAACAGTGGATTGAATTTGACCTGTGAATCTGAATATGGTGACTTCTACTCTAGGGTAATTTCTGAAGTAGGATTATTTAAAATCTCATTTTGAGTCTAATTTTTATTATCTGTTTCATTTTTTTTTTCTCTTTTTGAAAGTATGCTTTGTCCAAATCCCTCCAAATAACTCTTTCCCTGTTATGCAGTTCAGGGGAATGCCTGGTTCCAGGGAAGGGAAAAGAGACGACCAAGCTCTCTAGGGGCAGTCCTCACTTGCTGTGCGACAAAGAGAACAGGGTTTCCTGCTGGTGGGAAGAGGAATTTAAAGATAGACTAAGGACCAGAGAAGAGAATTTGAATGCTAGTTTTTAAGCTTTGCAATAAGTTCTTCTTAACTTCTGGAGGGAAATGGAAGTAGTGGGAGGATTCTGGGGCAAGAGCCCCACCAGGACAGCTCTGTGGAGACGCAGTGAGCATGCCCCTGTCTACAGTGTTACCTTGCTTTACCTTCTCTCTCACACTGGAGCCCTTGCCATCCTGGAGAGCAGAGACACCCTTGGAACCGGTCGCACGTCTCCCCATTAGTGCAGCTGCACCTCAGTTTACAATCTGGCCCATAATAACCAGGGAGGCATGCTGTAAACGAAGACATCACAACTACTGTTAACACAGGGGAAGGAGGAAACGGAGGCTGAGAGTAACTGGTTCTAGTTTTCCCTCCCATCTATCAACTGTGCTGATTCATATAAGGTAGTATGTGATTGATGTGAATTACCAGGAACTTAAAAGGTTGGAGAGTTCTGCTTCCAAAGAGTTGAATAAGTTCCTACCAGAAAAAAAAAAAAATAATTGAAAGCACTGAAACGTAGAAAAAAAGAAAGAAAAACAGAGAAACTGAAATTTGAAAGACATAATGGTATGTTTCTCATTTTTCAGCTTTTTGCTTAATTCTTGGGTACAACTGACACCACACAGGGTGATTAAAACTCCAAAGAAAACCTGTAGTCTTACTGGCCTGACAAATCAGAGGACAGAGCTGGGACAACTACAGACACTGGAAAGTAAGAGGGAAAACCTCAGAAAGGGAGAATCAGAGAGAAGACTCAAATCTTTGGCTGACCCTTGAACCACAAATATTCAGGACCAATTCAAAGTAGCCCAGCTAAAGATTAAAGAGCTGACCTGAGTTTGACCTGACGACTAAGAGTCAAAGTTTGCAGCTCAAGTTCTACCTAGTTAATTGCTTATGAAAGTAAAACAAAATCAACATTCCTCAAAGGAATCAAAGCAACTCTGGAGGCTGACGCAGGAGGATAGCAAGGTCAAATCCAACCAGGGCAACTTAGAGAGACCTTGTCTCAAAATTAAAAATAAAAGGGGCAAAGGGTGTAGCTCAGGGGTGAAGCACTGTTTACAATACTTAGTACTATAAACATGTAGGTCAGTGGATCAGAGAGCCCATAAATAAATCCACGTATTTACTGTCTAATGATTTTACACAGGTACCAAGAACACAAAATGGGGAAAGGATAATCTCTTTAACAAAAGATGCTGGGAAACTAGATAACCACAAGAAAAAAATTAGATCTCCATCTCTCCACATAAACAAAAATCAACTCAGGGTAAATTAAAGACTAAAACATAAGACCTGAAATTATAAAACTACTAGAAGAAAACATTCTGAAAATCTTTTTGACACCAGTCTGGGCAATTTTGTTTTGTTTTATTTTGACATGATCCCCAAAGTACAGAAAACAAATGCAAAAAATAGACAAATAGGATTGTATCAAATTAAAAATCTTTGACACAGCAAAGGAAACAACAGAGTGAAGAAGCAATGAATAGAATAGGAGAATGTATTTCCAAACTATACATCTGATAAGGGGTTAATATCCCCAATACATAAGGAACTCAACTCAAAAGCAAGAAATTAATCTGATTAAACATGGGCAAAGCAGGTTAATGACTGGAGTTGGAGAACATCATCCTAAGCAAAGTAAGCCAATCCCCAAAACCCAAAGGCCGAATGTTCTCTCTGATAAGTGGATGCTGACCCATAATTGGCGGGGAGGGCATGGGGAGAATGGAGGAACTTTGATTGGGCAAAGGGGATAGAGGGGATGGGAGGAGGCATGAGAGCAAGAAAGATGGTGGAACGAGAAGGACATCATTACCTAGGTACATGTATGATTGCTCATATGGTGTGACTCTACATCATGTACAACCAGAGAAATGAATAGTTGTGCTCTATTTGTGTATAATGATTGAAATGCATTCTGCTGTCATATATAACTAATTAGAACAAACTTTAAAAATGCCCCCAAAATGGGCAAAGAATCTGAATAGACATTTCTCAAAAGATAACATACAAATGGCCAACATGTATATGAAAAACTGCTTGATAGCGCTGATTGTCAGGGAAGCACATTTCAACAATGAACTATCACAACCTGTTAGAATAACTATTATCAATAAGACAAGAGATAAGTGTTGGTGAAGATATAAAGAAAAGGAAGCCCTTGCACATTGTTGATAGGAAAGTAAATATGAAAAACAATGTGGAAATTTCTTTTAAATATAAAAAATAGAACTCCCATATTGTTTTAGTCAACCTTTTCACTGCTGTGATGAAAACACTTGGCAAGAAGAATTTTAGAGGAAGAATGTTTATTTTGGAGCTCACGGTTTCGGAGGTTTCTGTCCATAGATGGCTGGCTCCCTTGCTATGGGACCAAGATGAGGCACAACGTCAGGGCAGAAGGACACAATGAAGGAAAACAGCTCAAGAGCTTAGGGAAGGACAATCAGGAAGCAGAGAGACAGCTCTTGCTCACCAGGGACAAAATATAAACCCCAAAGGCACATCCCCAGTGACCTAAATCCTCCAGTCACACCTTATCTGCCTATAGTTACCACTCAGTTAATCCCTATCAGTGGATTAACACACTAATTAGGTTAAAATTCTCATCACCCTACCATTTCACCTCTAAACTTTCTTGAACTGTCTCACACATGAGCGTTTGAAGAACACTTCATATCTAAACCATAACACATGTGATCCAGTAATCTTACTTTCTGGAAATGAAATTGATATCTCAAAAAGGTATGTGCTCTCCCATATTCCTTATAGCATTTCACACACACACACACAGGAGTAATATTCATCCCTAAAAATGGTAGGAGATCCTGTTATTTTTGAAAACATGGTTAAATCTGGAAGATATGATGTAAATGAAATAAGCCAGGCTCAGCAGGGCAGAGACTACATGATCTCTCATAAGTGGAATCTAAAAAAGTCAAACTCATAGAAGCAAAGTCCAATAGTGCATACCATCAACTGGGGGTAGGAGAGGGCAGGATGTTGGTCAAATGGTGCAAAGTTTGTTTTGCAGGATGAATAGTTCTGGAGATGTACAGCATAGTAGCTGCAGTTAATAAACACTATATTGTGCATTTGAGATTTTCTAAGAAAATAGGTCTTAAATATTGTCATCACAGACACAAAAAGATAATTATGTGAGGGAACAGAGATGTTAGTTAACTTGATAACTGTAATCACCAAATGCTTGAATAAGGTCCATAGATGATAAGATCATAACTTTTTCATTTTTGAACCTTGGTTTGGATCTGACCCCCAAACTGATTTTTGTGGTTCACTGAAATACAACAAACACACACATCTTCCAAGATCTTCTTATTCAAAGAGTGATCTAAAATTCAACAGAAATAGAAGCACCTGGGAGCTTGTTAGAATGCAGACCCTCAGGCCCCATTCCAAACCTACCAAATCACAACCTGTGTTTTAATACAATCCCCAGGTGATGTGTCTGAGATACACTATGACATGCACAGTCTCGTTATGAATGCATCATTTCTCTTGAATGAAAACATCTGTGATTTAAAACCCTGTATCCTAGCAACAGATGGTTGACTGTGCTGTCCAGGTGGGTCCTACTTTGATTCCCAGCAAAATGCATCTCCTTTGCACACCAGCTAGAATGTTTTACCATCAAGGGAGTGACCAGTGCATACCTTCATTGCACTGCAGACCCTTCCAGCCTGTGGCACAGGAACAGCCATAAGGGTCTGGGAGACAGAACACATAGGACTTGCATCCCTCTGGTCCACTACACTTTTCTTGACAAGTTCTGCCGAATGTGTGTAGTTCACAAGCTTTGGGGGGGGAAAAAAAAAAGCTGATTGAGAGTCCAATTACAACTACTTGAAATGAAGGATTTTTTTTTTAAGGAATCTCTCAGACAGGTGAACAGAAAAGGTAGTCTGATCTCAGCCAAGGCTTGGGCAGGATGAGCACACATTTATGGCCCATTTTACACACAGTCATACTGCCTCACAGACAGGATATCAAGGCTGCCACTCGGTTTCACAAGTTATACACTGCACAAACCAAGGTGATAACATTCACATTATAGGCATCATGGATTTGTGTATTCGTTATAGCTTTAGAGTGGCTGGTAATAAAGCATCTTTTGGAAAGGGTATCATTTTTTAATTCTTGCAAAGGCAGCATATAGACTAATAGAAGCCATTTAGCTTCCATTCTTAATGCCCAGATTTAGAATTCTAGATCCAATTAGTGATTGCTTTTTAAATCCACAGCTTACTCACCAAGGACTCTCTACTTACCCTTCTCACATGTCCTTCCCATAAATCCAGGAGGGCAAATGCATTCCCCAGTATCTTCATGGCAGACACCATGGTTCATACAAGCCGTACAGACACGCTGACATTCAGGTCCCCACTTCTGAGCTTTGCATCCTTTTTTTGTGAGAAACAAGGTAGTGGTGAGCAAAGTACAATCACTCAACAAACATTTACTGAGCACCCATTATGTGTCAATCATTTTAGTGGACATGGGTAAATGAAGATAAAATAGCCTCTGCTCCTCACCATAATAGTCTAACATAGGAGATACATCTAAACAGTAACTAATGATAGAAACAAAGACAAGAAATACTAACTCTTATCTTGCAGGTACAAGAGGGCACAAATGAAAGCTTCCCAGAGGACATGGGATAGGAGTGGAATTTGTAGGACCACCTTAACAGCAAAAAGCACAGGGCTGAAAAACGTGTGGCAGGCAAAGGCAAGGCATGGGAAAAGAGTCTGGCATGTTCAGGGAGCTGCAGGTGCCATTAGAGACTGTAGCCTTATTTTTTAAAGTGTAATCCCTGACAGGCAGCATCTCCATCACCAGGGAATCTCATAGAAATGCAAACTTCAGACAGATCCTCTACCCACAACCTACTAAATGAGAAACTCTGGTGTCTGCCTAGTAGTCTATGCCTAACGAGCCTTTGCAGTGTTCCTCACGTATGCAAGAGTTTGAGAACCACTGGTCTTGAGTACATGAAGGAGGGATAAGGCTAAAAAGGAAGGAGTGGCTTAGAGCATCCACCCCTTTGTGAGCTGGGAAGTATACAGCAAACAAGTGAAACAAGAGACACAAGCCAACAGCACAAGGATGGGGAATTCAAGAATCATCTTTCCTGATTATTTCCCTCCAATAGTTGGATATTTTAAGTTGTTCGTGAGGTCTGAGGATACCTTCTTATATAAGAAACACCCAGCAGGTCTGGGATGATGCTTTGTGGTCAGGAATTTGGTTTCATTTCTCATTTAGAAGGAATTAGTCTTTGTCCCTGAATGTTAATCTCACAGAGGTGAGCTTGGACCTGTGCCTATAGCGGATGCAACCTGACCATCTCTTATGTCAAGGATGCCTGGCTATCGGTATTCTAAAATAATCAAGAGAGATTATTCTCTCCTGTCAACAGAGACCATTTCTTACAGCCTTCCACATAATAAAGCCACAAATTGTGGAAAATCCAATATTTATATTCCTTAATAAAGAGAGGAAGGGTCTGTACAATTAATGATTTCTCAAGAGCCAGACCACAGGCTGTTTAAAATGATGGCATACAGTGTAGATGAAACTGTCCTCCAGCTCTGTGCCTACCCATGGAGCTAACCCAGACTCACTCCTGATCCCAGAAAGGAGGAAAAAATAAAGCTTCAGGGGACAATAGGGTGATCTCTTAGGGATGGAGAAGTCAGGACTTTGTTGATAACCAACAAGTATGCAATTAGGCATCTGTGATTTTCTTCAAAACCTTGTGATCCTGTATTTTAAGATAACAATATTCCTGGCACAAAGAAAAAAAAAAAAACTACTGTGAAATTTTTTTTTGTCAGGGAGAAAATTTATACTGAAAAGAAATGCAATAAATGTAACCAATGTTATTTTTAAAAAATATTTATTTTTGTAGTTGTAGTTGGACACAATAACTATTTATTTATATGTGGTGCTGAAGTTCAAACTCAGGACCTTGCACGTGCGAGGCGAGTGCTCTACCGCTGAGCCATAACCCCAGCCCCACCAATGTTATTTTTAATACAAAATCTTTTAAGCTCCTAGGCTACAGTTCATCCCAGAAAGATACTCTCCAGCTATATGAGGGGAACAAAAGCCTTCAGCTTCCCTCATTTCTTACTAATATCAAAGAAATCATACTGGGGGAAATATTCTCAAATAGGATGATTTTGGCCCAATTCAAACTTCCTTAGATTGATTTCAGATATTAGCAGTGCTTCTTAAATAGTTTCATTAAAATTCCTTGACAGTATAAGGGGGAGAGAGCACACACTCCAGGCAATCAGGACATCAAAAATGTGTTTTAAGTCTTTTGCTTTATCTTGAAAATTCAGGTGGGTTTCAAGTTTTAGTCTACACTAAATTTTATTTGTTCTCACATTAAAAAAAAATCAACAACTTAAGCTCATCCCACTGTGATGTTGTAACATACTAAAAAATACTTGACTGGTCTCTGCCCCTGGTTCCCAGCACACAGCTCCTAAAATCCTTGGAATCTCCAAAGTAATGACTTCCCTATGTATGCTAATGAGGTGAGTGGCAGCCAGGAAGCCCTAAACAGCTTCACAACAGGAGCTGATCACCAGAAAGACCAAAGCATCATGTGAGAATTGGGACACTCAGTACCACCCCCCGCCCCCAATCTTCAGAAAGGGGGTAAGGGCTGTAGGCCCAAGTCCATGTTCATCAGTGTGAGATCAACATTCAGGCACAAAGGCACCAATGGCCATTGATTCAAATAATCACACCTGCCTAAGGGAGCCTCTATGAGATCCAAAAGGACAGGGTTCAGAGAGCTTCACATTGAAAGGTTCCTAGAGGGTATCTGTGCCCTATGTATCTCTTCCTCACAGTTGCTCATTTGTTTCCTTTGTAATATTCTCAATAATAAACTAGTAAATGTGAACATTTCTCTGAGCTGTCCTAGCAAATTAATCAAACATGAGGAAGAAATCTTGAGAAACTTTGATTTACAGCCAGCCAGTCAGAAGCACAAGCCATAACCTGCGGCTGGCAATTGGCATTTCAGATGAGAGCAGTCTCATGGAACTCAGCCCTTAGTAGGTGGGATCTGATGCCACCTCCAGGTAGACAGAGTCAGAACTGAGTTAAATTGTACGATACCCAGCTGATGTTCACTGGAGAATTGCTTGGCATACAGGTTTAGTGAGAACAGAGAATAGGAAAACCATTCCATTGTCAAACAACCATGTATCAATCTGAAGTTTCTGATGTTCCTAGACAAGGATCCCCATTACCCCAGACCCTAAGTTCCTTGGGAACATGGGAGTGAATCAGACTAAAAACTATCTAAATGTAATGAATGAAAATCATTTACTTGCCATTCACATTTGTTTATCTAATTCCATATGTAATTCTGACTGGTAATTACCCAAGGGACAGGGATTTATATTGTTATACTCTTCTCAACACTAATACAATGCTTGGTCTAGAGTTATTATCAATACATTGTACTGAATGAATTAATTTATTGAATGAATTAACTTATTTATTAAGTTATGTTATCTTCATGAATCATAGATAGTATTCGGAAGAATGATAGCAGCTCATGTACTTAGACCTGAAGACCTGAATATTTAATATCACAACTAACCTAATTTTTCCCCAAGAGCTGGGAAAAAATCCAGGACAAATCTTCTGCTTTCTGTAGATAAATTTCATGTAAAAATTGCTAATGGAAAGTCCCACTTCAATAGTTATAACAGGTAAAAAATGTTTTCACTAGCTGAGTGTGGTGGTATACACTCCTGAAATTCCAGTTAATTGAAAGGCTAAGGCAGAAGGATCTCAGGTTCAAGACCAGCCTTGGCTACTGAGACCCTATCTTAAAATAAAAAATGTAAATAACTGAGAATATAGCTCAATGGTAAGGCATCCCTGCTTCAATCGAAGGAAGGAAGGAAGAAGGGAAGAAAGGAAGGAAGGAAGGAAGGAAGGAAGGAAGGAAGGAAGGAAGGAAGGAAGGAAGGAGAGAAAGAAAGAAAGAAAGAAAGAAAGAAAGAAAGAAAGAAAGAAAGAAAGAAAGAAAGAAAAGATATTTGAGAGTTAAATGACCTGGAAAATGTGGGATTTTTAGAAAACAATGTTTAACTAGAGGTTAACCCAGTTCACCCCACCCCACAGCAGACACTTTTCAGGGAGATTATCCTGCTCATTGCAATCCCCCTTTTAATAGGAATGATTCTGCTATTCATGTGTGAGCCCCTAATGTCTAACTATAGCATGTGGCTCCTCTCTCTTGCCCATAACCCCTTAATCTAGGCTGATAGAAATCAGATATATGTTAGGATGATCCCATCTTTTCTCCTGGGAATTCAAGATCTGAAAGGAAAGTACATTGTGGGAGCTAAGGTACAGTAATGGCAGCATCCTAGAGAGAAAGCACTCCCCATTCCCCCACCACTGAGCTTCCATCTTTCCTGGAACTTGCTTGTTGTTTTTTTTTTCATCAATTCTCTAAGAGTCTTTGTTGTCTTTCCAACCAATCCCTGTTTTTCTTGTTAAGTAACAAGAATAGGTTTCCTTCCTTAAAACTGAAAGTCCTGCCGGGCACAGTGGCACATGCCTGTAATCCCAGTGGCTCAAGAGGTTAAGACAGAAGGAGCGCAAGTTCTCTGAGGCGCTAAGCAACTCAGAGAAACCCTGTCTCTAAATCAAATACAAAATAGAGATGGGGATGTGGCTCAGTAGTCAAGTGCCCCTGAGTTCAATCCCTGATACAAAAATAAATAAATAAATAAATAAAATAACTGAAAGCTCTAACACTACACCATCACAGGGGGTGGCCTTACAATCACTTACTCCGGACTATCAGCCTGGTGAAGGCCGATGTGAAGAGGTTTCCTCCTATGTACCTGGCGGAGTACACTCCAGCATCCTGGGGCTCAGCACGATGCAGGTTCACTTCTAAAATATCAGGTACTTCGTGCCGAGGCACAGAGTGGATAAAGGAACCTGATGAGAGAGAAAAGCAGGAACAATAGGTTGTACTCAAACACTCCTATTTCCTCATCTATCCTTGCAATCAAACCATCTCACATTTTACATGGATGAATTTGGGCCTTATCATATGATGATGGTCTTTTATTGTGTAGAATGTCATGCACATTCATGAGTGTACAGTGTGCATTTGAACACCCTCCCCCTTTACTTAGGTAACCAGAGAACCTAAGAAGGCTTCTATCAGCCAGAACTGAATCAACTTGCATCATCATAGCTTTACGGCAAACATCTGCCCCTGAAAACCACAACAGGATAATGATCCAGTACATCATCTGTGTTATCTGATGCCCCGCACCCTGGTTCTGGAAGGAAGTGAAACATGTACTCACCATTTTTGTAAATCACTGCATCTTCTTCCTTAATTAACACCTTTCTGAAAGATATAGTCACATTATCTCCCCTGTCCACAGTCATAGTCAACGTAGCTGGTAGGAAGGAAGCTTTTGAAAGAGACAACAAATACCAAAAATGACATCACACATTTTCCCCAAGGAACAGTAGAACACCAAATTTCGAAAGATGAGACCTGGCATTTGCTAGGAGTCAGCTGGTTTTTATGATATGGAAAACAATGATGGCTACTAGATTTCCATCTTTCTTAAGATCTTTTTGAAAATTCTGACAAAAGAAATGGTCATTTTTTCTGTAAAAATAAAGATATATATACAATAGACATATAGATAATTATCCTATGCAATTGATTGGAGAGGCAAGGACTGTTAACATCTAATACCCACCGAAGTCCTGACATTAACTATAAACTATATACTAATCATAAATCTGCCATTCTCTTCCAATTCCTACTGAGTTTCCTCAAAGTGGAAAAGAACATGAATAGAACATGAATTTCCTCAAAATGAAATGAGCACATCTGCCACATGGCTTTTCCCTTGGTCCTTGGGTGTGATGGTAGTTGCTTCTCAAACTAATTCTAATTCCTTTAGAATGCTCCAAGCATTTCCCAAAATGGAATGAGCACAATGCTGGACTAATGAAATATTGAACAGTAAAGGATGAAACCTAATATCTTATTTTTCTATCCTTTAATTATATATGTGTGAACTGACATAGTTATGGAACTGGACAGTACTGGGGGAAAATGGAACATTATTCGATCTTTGACTTATAAATTCAGAGTCAATTCATTGAAAACTTCTGTTGCTATGCCAACACTGGAATACAATATTGCCTGAGACCTTTGGGTTATTGGAAAAGATGGTGAATATAATCTTGTCACATTCTCCCAGCTGCAAGAGTTTCTGAATTCCTTTAATTTATACCATAATCTGCAGAGAACCACACTCAGTGGAATGAGGAACGATTAACTTTAGACTTGTAAAATTAAACAATGTAAAATATAAGGATTACCACTAAAAGAAGGGAAACAGTACATATAATTTTATTAAACATGGAGGGCAAGAGAGAATGTAAGTAAACAAAGGAATAAAATGAAAATACACAAAGCCAAAGAAAATCATGGTGGAGAAAAGACAGAAAAAAGATGGCAGAAGACATGCAAAATACATGGTTTGAAAAATTGAACAACTCAGAATGAATTAAAATAAATATGTAACCATGTACTATTTTCATGAGCTATACATAAAGACAACTCAGGTTGAGAATAAGGGGATAGAAAAATAGGTACTGAACTAACTAAAAGAAGCTAAGCTTTGCAACATTAATATAAAAAAAATTACTAAGGCCAAAACTTTTAGGGATAAAGATGGTCTTTACATGAAAAAAAAAAAAAAAAAACAATCCACCATTCTAATAAGTCTCATTACAAGATGTCATTCTCATATCTTGTTCAGGAAGATACAATAATCCTGAAATTGTACACATACATAACAATACAGCTTCAAAACTCATGAAACAAAAACTATTAAAGGAAGAAACTACAAGCATACTGGAAACTTTCAGAAACTGGTCAAATGGAAAAATCACTATGCAAAAACATAGAAGATTTGAAAAACACCATTAAAATGTGTTGAATATTCATGGGATCCTTACCCAGCTATCTCAATACATGTTATTTATAAGTGTTTTACCTCCCTATGAAGCACAAAGCACATCTCCATGAATAACAAATTTCTAGAAGTCAACAGCAAAATAACAAAACACCCCAAAATATGAATTCAAGAGTTTCAGCCAAGGGCCAAGATTTGAAGAATAGAGAGACTCCTGCTGAGGACCTTGTGCTTACTCAGCCAGTCATTGTGCCTTAGTTCTTGTTTCATCTGTGGCTTTCTGAAGGGGGCTTGAGAGAGACTGATTAAGAGCTGGACGCACCTCTGGTTTAGATAGCAATCCTGTGAGGGCAGAAGATGCCTCTGAACCATGCTCAGAAGGACTTGGTTTCTCTCCTATTGTCCTTGGCTGTGGGCTGACCCTGCTAAGTTGGGCATAGCATACTGCCAGGACTTCTCTGGGAGGCCAGGTATGTAAATATCTTTAATGCAGATGACAACCTGGGGCAAACCCAGAGGGAGCATAGAGTAGCCCTCCCATAGTATGAGATGCAAGACCTGGGTTTGATTCTGCCCTCTGCCACTTACTCATTCTTGAGTCACTTCACCTCTGCAAATCTCAGTTTTCTCATAATTTGGAAGTAGTAATATCTACTATAAAGGCTGTTAAGAATATTACATGATTGTTGGGCATAGTGGTGCGTGCCTATAATCCCAGCACCTTGGGAGGCTGAGGTAGGAGGATCACGAGTTCAAAACTAACCTCAGCAAAAGTGAGGCACTAACCAACTCAATGAGACCCTGTCTGTAAATCAAATACAAAATAGGGCTGGGGATGTGGCTCAGGTCAAGTACCCCTGAGTCCAATCCTCTGTACCCCCTCCCCCCAAAAAAGAATATTAAATGATGGATGCCAAGCCCCTGAGTTGCTAATAGAATCCTTTCAACAAATAAACAGCAACAGTGCTGAGCTGATATTTGTACTATAGATGTGAGTGGGAGCTTTCTTGATGGTTCTAAAATAAACTCACTGCAGGGAAGGCAGCAGGGATCAGGGAAGGGGGAAACTGGCTTTATGGGGCTCCTTTTCTCAGTGACTAAGTGCTTCATGAAGCCATTCTAACACATGAAATTCTTGCTCTCTGCAAAAGGTTTCTGGGCTCCTGAGAGAGTTTTTCCCCCAACCATTCCATGCCAGTTTTCCTTCCTATGTGGTTTGTTTATATTTTCTGGCCCTTTGTGCAAAGGTTATTTAGTTGACCATGGGACTTCTCACTCAGCACTGTATTCTGAAAAGGACCTGAGATTCTCCAGTAGGCTCAACTCCAATGTAGTTCTCCCCCCTACTCTGGCCCTTTTTTTATTTCAGACTTTGTACCTTTTAAGGCACCCTGCTTTCACACCAGCGCTCTGTTGCTGTCTAGTCCCTTGCCTCCTACATTCATGTGTCCAGGCTGACTGTCCTCTGCTGGGTACTAATGAGGAAGGGCTAACTTTCATGTTCTACTTTGAGCTTCCTGATGCACAGGAGCCTGGCTTGGGTTTAGTACACATATTGAGGTTGTGTGACTTTGGTGATCGTAAAAATAATAGTGCCTACCATGTACTAGGTACTGTGTCCTAAGCCCTTTAAGCAAACTAAATCTTCATAATATCCCTATAAGATGGGTACCACCATTATGTTAATTTTACAAAAGAGGAAACTAAGCTACAGAGAGTTTAAGTAACCTGTTCAAAGTCACATGAGAGCTCGGGAGACCAAGGATTTGAATCGGGGAAGCTGGCTCCAAGGGCTCTCATATATTACATAACATGAGCACTCAGAAGGGTTTCAAGTCCAAAGAGGGCTGGGGATATAGATCAGTTGGTAGAGTGTTCATCTAGCATGCACAGGGCCCTGGGTTCACTCCCCCGTACCATAAAGAAAAACTGGAGGAAAAAGTACACAGTAGTCAGTTATAAACAAAGATGTTTTTCATGGATTAAAAATAATTGATCTAAATTTCAGCTGTCTCCTTTAAATTTAATATTAGATCAATACTGATGGCAATAATGCAGTATTTCATCCACATCCACAATTATTTTGTCACAACAGCTTTGTGAAACTAGCACATCCTCAATTTACTCATGTCAGAGACAGTTAAGGACAGCACAGTCCCGTACCGAAAGCCTCCTAACTGAATAGGTGAAGAAGTTGAGACACGAACACAAGAGGTCCACACTCACTCCTTGGCACCAGCTCTGTCGGCCTGTACCCTTAGCTCTCGTCACTCATGTCCAAGTGCTGAGTTTCCTTCCTTCTCTTCCGCTTCTTTCCCCCACACCTCACCAGCTCCTACTCATTCATGGGTCTCCATGTAGATGTCTCTGGGGACCTTGCACACTTTCTAGAATCCAGGTCAGGTGGTCTCATGGCTACTCTCCAAATACCCTACCCTTCCCCCATCACATTCCTGCTCACGGTGAATGTCCCCTACCAGACTGTGTTCCAGGGGTATGTGGAGGCAGGACCTAGAGTGTTTTGAAAGGCAGCACAGTGATGGTTAGAGCCTGGCCTCAGGATGGGACCTGAGTTCGACTTCCAGGTCCAATGCTCACTAGTGAATGCGTTGAAACAATGATGAGCCTCATCTATTAATGAGTCTTAGTTGTGCTCCTCTGATTAGCATAAATGAGATGGCAGCATATATAATGTTGCCAGGGGAAATGTCAGGCACAGAAAAAGTATTCAGGAAATATTAACATTGCATCTCCATTAACATTGCAGCACAAGACAGACTCAAGAATAGTTATACGATGAAAAAAAAAAAAAGAATGAATTTAATTTCAGGTTTTCCCATCTCCTTTATGCTTTTAATGTGTTTATTTGTGCTATTTGGATACAGATGGTTTCCCTCCATCAAACTCACAAGTCATGTTTGGGTAGTTTGATGTTCTTAATGTAAAGCTATTTCTCAAATGAAAACAGGAAGAAAAAAAAATAAACCCTGTGTCTTTTCTAATGGATTATTCTGAAATAGTTCTTTGGATCAAAATGTATTTATAACTTCCTACCCCCAAATGAAATCACCTGTGAGGTTTGAACAAACTGCTGTTGATTGTTTTGGATGAGGCCATTGATAAAAATGATTTGGCTATTTGGGATGTGTGAGCCAACATAAGCTGTGTTTTGGCACATCTCAGATGGATTTTCCACTTCCTCCCAGATGCACATGTCAGCAGAAGTGGGAATATACTGATGTTTATCCTCTCCTGCTGTGTCCCTGAGCAGGCATTTCTGAGATCCCAGGATGTTTTACTAGGGAATGAATAGCAGCATGAGGACAGTTGGGGAGGTTTTCTTGATTCACCATGATGGATATCACTTACGCTGTGCCATATCTCTCCTACTGGGTGGTCAATTAAAAAAAGCAGAACCAGTTCCCCAATCTGAGAGGCTGTTATTGCAACTACAGGAGAAAACATGCCATCTATTTTTCCATTTTGATTAAACCTCTGCAGTTATGTTAATACGTGATATTTAAAAATTCTACAATTGAGTAGGAAAATTAACAGTCCCACTAAATTATTACTCCAAGGCACCAAAATAAGAGTTGTTGAACATGTTCTGTGAACCAGATAATGTTGGTATTTTTATTTGATTCTTAAATTTGCTTGTGGTAAAATCTTTATCTTCCACTCTTTTTCAAATAAGGAAAAACTAGAACCCCAATTAAGTGATGTGCCTGAAGTCCTACCATTCAGTGCAGAGCTAGGATCAAACCCATGTCTGGCTGACTTCTACACTTCTACTCTGTGCCCTGGGTCATTTTGTAGGGTTGTAGAATTGTTTTCTTATTTAAAGAAAAAGTGCTCAAAGAAAGACAATTGTTATCATTGAGACCAATATACAAGGGTATAAATGTGAGGGTTACAAATATAGGCTCTGAAATCATATCATTAACTCTATTCTGCACATCGATGTATGCATGGGAATTAACATGTACACCACCTTATTTAAAACAGCAGAATTATGTAGGTATTATAACTATTTCACAGATGGTGATAAATGAGACTAACAGAAGTTAAATGACTTGCTTAAGGAAACACAGTTGGTAAGTGGTAGAGAATTCAAATTCAGGTAAGTATAGGTCTAAAAGCCAATCTCTCTTCACTATTGCTCACTATCCAAGCCTGCCTTGCCTTATCCTTTACCTGTGGTGATCTAGACTCTCAACTGGGAGACATTATTGCAGTTTATTTTTAACTCCCAATGGGGATCAATACATTTTACTATTTATATATTGTCAGGGGTAATCTTGGGAGAGCCTAAGAAGAACAGGGTGGTGCTCCTCACTTCACTTCCATGAAACCGTAGAGTAAAAATCTCATATCATCTTCATTCAGGACATGGACACTCAGCAGAACATTACTCTTTACACAAGTCAAATCCAAAATGACATATGAAAAATAATAGAGTTGACTTTCAGCCGTGATAGCTTTGGCACACCTCACATCCTTTGTTCAACCTCTCTTCCCTCACTGGAGGGCTGCATTCCTGGGAATTTCTGTTGTATGCTTTTCCCACTTGCTCTGGTGTCACTTAAAGGTGAACATTTCAGTTTTGGTAAGAAAATCCTTTCCTTCATTTGTAATGAATAGCGATGTTATCACTTTTGACCTTAAAATAAGCTTATTGCCCTCAAATTTTTTACTTACCACCATTAGCAAATTCAAAGAAATGTTTTCAGGTGGACCCCAGATACTAGCTAACTAAACTCTTGCTCCTCAAAATATGGTTTGTGGTAGAGCATTTTCTTATCACCCAGAACCTACTACCCAGAAGAGTCTCAGGACTCTTCCCTAATGACTGAGTCACGATCTGCATTTTAGCAAGACCCATAGTTGATCAATAAATATGTTCAACACTGAGAAACATGGACCTACAAATCCTGTAGATTCCTATATAAGAAACTAACAATGAGAAATGTGCAGAGGTGTGTTACTTATCTGGGTCAGCTTAATAATAATAATAATAATAATAATAATAATAATAGTTGTTGTTGTTATTATTATTATCATTATTATAAAACTAAATCCCCAAAGAGCTCACAATACCATTATTTTTTAAAATAAATTCTGAGCCTTTGTGTCTAGACAGTATTAATTTGGAAAGGACTTCTGTATTTTAGGTATCAGCAACCCAGAGAAGATGTCTGGATGAGAGGCTGGATCATTCCAAGGAGAGGGCATCACACACAGCTGGAATCCATGCTTGCTGCCACTTAAGTTTGCAATGCCCTCACTCTGAATCTTTTACTTGCTTTGGGAAATAAAATGAGGCATAATCATGGGTAATTCTGTGCCTACATTGTTCTCTTGCACTTCTACCATATTCATGAGATCATACCTAGGTTGGCCTGCTGCAAGATAATAGCCACATGGAACCGAGCCAAGTTGCCCCAGCCAAGGCTAGAGTGAAAAGCCTGCAGCCAGCCAACACCATGTATTAAGAAAGCCCCACCAAGGCCAACAGAGTCACTCATCAACCCAGCTGACAGCCTCACACTAAAATGCTCCATGTCATATGCCATTGTGATTACATTACACAATATAGTTGTGGCAATAGGTAACTGATACATCAAGTAACCAATTAAATTGAGCTACTTACTGATAGATATTTCCCTTTTGAAGATTTTATTTCTACATAATTTTCTCATGAAAATATTAACTTCTAGTATGAGCATTTAGGAAAAAACAAAACAAAGTATCAAATGAAAACTTAATGAGAAATCTCAAAATAACCAATAATTTGGCAATGGATTTTTTTGCCATAATTTTCATATGAAGACATGACTATGTTACATGTATACAATAAATGTCATAAAGTGAACCTATGATATATTTCATATCATGAACTAGACACCATGTCTACCGAGGGAGTTGGGCTGGATGGTCTTTTATGTCTATTATTCTAGGTACCAGAGACAGCAATCTTAGGTCCCGAGACAACAAAAAGGTCCTTGAGCTCTACACTCAGACAGCTCATGCAGCCTCTGAGGGAGCAGCTGCCAAAACAAAAGGTATGTGCTCCCAGTGGACCTCACCTGTCCACATTTAGGGGCATATTACCTTGTTGACGCATCTTCATGGTCCGTATCCTTATTGCCCGTCCTCGAACTCGCCCTTCACAGAAATAGGCGCCATTGATTTTACTAGCCTTTTCTCTCTTCCACACGACTTTTTTAGCCCATTCTCTGGTCACATCTTGGGTAACTTCCAGTGGATCTTGGTGCTGGTTCATTAAGGCTTCAAAGTCTCTCCCTATGGTGATGGGCTCATGGGGATGCCATCCAGAGGCGATGCAGGTGAGGGATGTTTCAGCATCAGATACAAGAGGTAGGGAATTAATCAAGATCAAGTCCATGGCACCTTCCACTGTTCCTAAAGGAAAAATGGAGAATAATGCATGCTGAAGGCCATTAACATGGCTCGTGGGGTAAACTAGTCTTGTCTAAAGTATTGTCTAAAAATAGATAGTCTTTCTAAAATTCCACTTGTCACCAAAGCTTCAAGACCCTTTATCACCCAGACCCTGCTAATTCCCTTGCCCCTATGAATACCCTGGGGGCAATGCACTGTAAATCCCACCACCACCACAACAAGCCATGCACTATATATCTCTATGCACTATATTGCCTGAGACCTACTTGGGCACTCTGTAAATTCTTGTTGAGCTGAGATAAATTATACTAGAATTACTATCATTATTCATTATGACTAGTAATTATTATTAGTTATTATTGATGCTATGTAGTATTGCCAAAATAAAGTGTTATAAAGAAGCATCAACTGCATTCACTCATGCCAATGAAATAGAGCCTCATTTTTTAAAACTTCCCCAGTTTTACATTAAATTCTTCACAATGAGAGGGACAGTGACTAAGTGAAGTCTGCATTTTCCTCTGAACCTCATTTGCTTCCTCTTTAAAATGGTGACAAATTCAGAATTTTTGTGAAGATTAAATAACCTGCCAAGCACTGTCATATTCTGAATGCCCAGTGACCATATTTCATTTCTCTTTCTTCTGTTTTCAGAACACCTAGTCACAAACCTCACCCCCTTTCCAAGCATAAAAACAAAACCATGCCTGACCTTTAACATTCGTTCTATAAATGTATTCCATAAATGATAAAGCACACTTTAAAAAAAAACTTTGTTTTACTTTCTTGTTATTTCTCTCTCCACCCACCTACAACCCCCCAAATCTACCACATTCTTCTTCTCTATTGATTTCTAAAGTTTCTAACTTGAATAAATGGAATCTGTCTATTCTCTCCTTTATAAATGTGGAAATATCAGGGATGAAAAATATTTTCTAGCTCTGGTGATGGTTGACCCCAAGTTTACACAACATGATCAGCAGAATAGAAAGATCAAGCACATTCATTGGATGATGAGGACCCAACCGGAAACTCAAAGACCTCTATGTAGATATAAAGTTATTCAGGCAAGTTACACTCTGTTTAATTTAATACCCATTAAATTCTCCCAACAACCCTCTGTAGCATGCTTTTTTTATCTCAATTTTAAATATGAAGAGCTGAAGGCTCAAAAGATTGAGTAGCTTGTTTGATCTTTCAGAGCTATGTAAGGCAGAGCTGGGGTTTAAATGCTCACTCATCCGTTAGTCCTCAAATACACCACACCCTTTACATACTTAAAGTCTATCTATTTGCCATACACTCTGCCTGTAAGACTCTTCTTCACCATTGAACTAACTTCTGTTCATTTGTTGGGTCTCAGCTTAAACGCCACTTTCTCATAGAGGGTTTCTCTGCTTGCTGTATATAATACCTACACATTCTCATCCCATTTTCTTCTACCTCAGCCTCCAGTTTATTTCATAAATATCACCATAATTTGTGATTACTTTATTTATTCTATTCCCCTCAATGGTAAGTTCCATGAGCTATTCTGCATAGGAATGGGAACTTAGGAATTGATTTATATAGAAATACTCTGCCTAATTTTGACACATACAGAACTTAAGTGTTTGTTGGATGGGTGGAGTGATGCCAAAACTCTATTCCAGGTCTATTCCTATTCCTATTCCTACTCCAGGTCTGTCTGATCCAAGTCTATCCACTTACCATGCTCCTAATTTTATAATAACTAACTTAAAAATGAAAGCACTCCCATGAATCTAAACTGATCTCCTTTCCATCATCAACAGATTGTTTGATAACTGAGTTTTTAGGAGGCAAAAACAAATGTTATTGTTTTTACAAAATACCATAGATAGGTGATCAGTAGTTCCTGAGCATCTGCAGTCAATTGGCATTCATTTATCAGACATTATTTGATAATCTACTTAGGCCAAGCATTGTGCCTGGTATGAAATTCGATTTCGAGAATTCCCTTACTTGGAGTTAAATCTTTATCTAGTTATTTAGGAAGAAGAATTTCAAAGTCAATATAAGCATCGTATATAGGGGATTGAAGGACAAAAAAAAAAAAAAAAAAAAAAAAAAAAAACCCTCTCCTATAATGGGTTTCCCAATCTGACCACAAATGGAAGGATCTATCTTACATCGAACCTTGTGGATAACTTTTAAAATCTCAGGAAAGGGGACAAAGGTTAGGACTTTTTAAAAGTGTTGCAAAAGAGGATGAGTGAGGAACCCTAGCAGTGGAATTACAGCCCCCAAAATAGCACCAGTACACACCTCCCTCTTTATGTGCACACCCAAACTAGCACTGCTTCCAAGCGAACACCACCATATCTCCTGCGCTCATCATTCCAGGCATGTTCCAGAAGGGGTCATCGAGAGGAAGGAAACTGTCACTCTTTCAGCTCCAGTTAGATCCAACCCTATTTCTAGGGCCAGTTGAGTGATTTGCCAAAACCATGGGTTCTGCTCTAAATTAACACCACTGGCACTGGCTGAGGTTTATTTAATGACTGTAGGAAATAATAGAAAAAGCAGATGATTTGAAAAGACAACCAAGCTTCAGCTGTAAATAGTTTCTAGGTATGGATCTAGAGACTTTTTTCCTCTTGTTCTTCCAGTTATCTCCCTCTTCTTTCAATAATGAAAAGGGAAATTGTATGTACTCTGAGAGTCCGGACTTGATTACATTTTGCCACCTTATTTAACATGACAGTTACAGGAAGCTTTCTTCCATCGGTGAGCTCTGTCCTTTGTAATACCAACTACAATCAAAACAGAAGGATTGTACATGTGAGTTTTATATATAAGAGGAGATAACCTATCCTGAGCTGGATCATTTGCCTAGTTTTATTAAAATAAGAATCTTTATTTACTTGCATATGTCTAAAGAATTTCTAGAAAGTGACATACAGAACTAAGAACACATGTGACCTATTAGGGGAGAACTGAGTATTCAGTGAAAAACAACAGGGAAAGGACTTTTGCCATATGCATATGTATAGCTTTTAAATGATTTGAATATTACCCATGCACAAAAATTAAATGTAATAAAAGTAAATGTTATTGGTCTTCCCTTATAAAATGGATTATTGGAAGGGAATCAATGGCCATAAAAATACATGTCTCTTACCACCTATCCCTATAGCCACTCTTAATCTTGGATTGCATTCAAATAATGCATTTTCACTCACTCTCTTCTTTGGACTATTAAGGAATGTGATGTCACTCTACAATGCTGAAAAATGGGGTTAAAATAAAATTTAAAATGAGAAAGGTGGCTACACTGGGCCTTTCAAAGAGAATAGAGCAGAGGCCCACCCCACTACAATTGGTACAACTCTGGCCTGTGGCTTCTTGAAAGGATTCTACTGCTGACACCTTGAGAGGCATTACTGAACAGCACAGCTGGCATCACCCAAGGAACTGGTTACTAGGGACACTGTCCTGAGAATAACTATGGAAAGACAGATCCCACATGGACTCATGCCAATATCAGTTCCCATGCCTAACTCTTTTCCTTACATTACAGCAATCCTCTCCAAATCATCCATTTTAACTCCTTTTTAACTCAATATTGGGGACTAATATTGAGTTTTTTCATCATACCTACAGCCTGAGGGGCTCTGATCAAATTTATTGATTAATTCCATTTATATTTTATCAACAAGGCCAAGAATCTTCCATAAGTACAATGTACATTGAAATCCACACATCTTATCTTTTTGAGTGCAATACTATTTTTTCATAGCAAAGATTTCTTAAGCACTTTACAGTGTTTACATAATTGTGTTCTTGGCAAAAAAAAAAAAACTTGCCTTGTGGCAAGACGATTGTTAATTTCCAAGTGAATCATTGATCAGCACACTGAAAACCTAATCCTACTCTCAAATGTCTTGCTCACTGAATTTGCTGTGAACTCTACTCAGCAGCATCTGATCTTTCACAGATGCATTTTCTCACCAAACCTCATCATGGTGAATTCAAATGTCTAACTCTTGTTTTGCATTTGGATTTTGTTATATTCAATATTGTTTTGAAAAATGAGCCCTTAACTAAGACATGAAAATATTTTTCTTCAAAAATAGCCAGAGATTCTACTGTCATGTATAACTAAAAAGAATTTAAAGAAGAAGTAGAGAAGTGATTTTGGACTTGAATCACAACTCCCATGTAATCAAACTAAATTGAATGAGAAATTAGAGGCAGTGCCACGTTTTTTCAAACTAAATCTCAAGGAATAATTACTTCTCATTTTCAAAAAAGGTGTTCCTGAAGTTTCAGAGAGTAGGAGAGGTCAAAGCAACAGAATGAATTCCAGACACCCACACACATGCACTCTCAGCAAGCTGCTCAATGTTTTTTGTTTACATTTGGGATCCACATCAGATTTCATTTGGGGAAAAATGATTCTGCTTAATTAAAATCATAAAACCTCAGAGGTCACCCATTTTAACTCCTTTTTAACAGATGAAGAAAATGAATGTTTAAACATGAATGTCAATAAAACATTCTGTTACAGCACCACATGCTTGCTCCAATTAGCATACCCTCGTCTATTCCAGTTCAGCACAGCTGCACATAGTCAAGTGCTGATTAACCTAGCTCAATGATCTGGAAGCATTGGCAGGCCAAAAGGAAAAACCAGGTTAAATGTTTGCACAGTGAGTCCATTCCCTTGTGCATTACCTCAGAATTTTTGGGGGGGTGGAGTTTCATTAACGTGTTTGGAATATGTACCACATCTTCAGAACAACCTTCTGTATGGTTCTTAAAAGTTTAAACATATTAGCTATGTTTACAATTTTTTGAAGTTGTTTGTGGTCATTTTATAGGTATTTTAAATATTTCTGAATATTTGAAATGACAGTCAGGACTACTCTGGCCAAAAGCACTTCAGAGATCAGGGGATTGGCAATGAACTGAAAAGGCCTTAGCCCAAAGCATTTCTGGAATCAAGACCCGTTGGCAATGAGCCCAAGAAGCAAAGA